AAAAAAAAAAAAAAAAAAAAATGCAAGCATGCACATACTTATATTTTTATCAGAGGAGGAATCATACTTGGCATGCTATATTGTAATTTGTTTTTCTCATGTCACCATTTCCCAAATATTTTTTTCATGCCATTAAATATTCTTTTGCAGTGGTTTTTTTTTTTTTTTTTGAGATGGAGTCTCGCTCTGCCACCCAGGCTAAACTGCAGTGGCACGATTTTGGCTCACTGCAACCTCTGCCTCCCAGATTCAACCATTACTTTTTTACCACTATGTGGTAAAAAAGGCTGGACAGAGCATAGTTAATTTACCCAGTTCCCTACTGATGGTCATTTAGGTTAGTGTAATGAACATCCTCACATGGGCTTTCCAGTTATTATGACATCTTTTTATAATCAACTCGCATACAGCTGTCTCCTGTAAAAATTATTTATTATGCTGGGCATGGTGGCTCACACCTGTAATCCCAGCACTTTGGGAGGCTGAGGTAGGTGGATCACCTGAGGTCGGGAGTTGGAGACCAGCCTGACCAACAAGGAGAAATCCTGTCTCTACTAAAAATACAAAATTAGCTGGGCATGGTGGCGCATGCCTGTAATCCCAGCTACTCAGGAGACTGAGGCAGGGGAATCACTCGAACCCGGGAGGTGGAGGTTCCGGTGAGCCGAGATTGCATCACTGCACTCCAAACCGGGCAACAAGAGCAAAATTCTGTCTCAAAAAATTATTTATTATAATTATTTATTTATATGTATGTGTGTATGTGTGTGTGTGTGTGTGTGTGTGTGTGTGTGTGTGTTTTTTGAGACTGAGTCGAGCTCTGTAGCCCAGGCTGGAGGGCAATGGTTCGATCTGGGCTCACTGCAACCTCTGCCTCCTGAGTTCAAGCAATTCTCCTGATTCAGCCTCCCGAGTAGCTGGGACTACAGGTGCCCACCACCATGCCTGGGTACTCTTGCATTTTTAGTAGAGACAGGGTTTCACCATATTGACCAGGCTGGTCTCGAACTCCTGGCCTCAAGTGATCTGCCTGCCTCGGCAAGTGCTGGGATTGCAGGTGTGAGCCACTGTTCCCGACCACAATTTGATTCTTAATGGTTTGCTGTCATGGACCCCTTAGAGAACTTGCTGGAAGCTGTATCCTTAGCAGAAGGATGTTTATCACCTATGAGTCTCAAGAGCCTGGTACCTGGATTTTCCTTTAATAAACAACTCCCCTTCCAACACGGCCACTGCATGCACCCTTAGCAGGGTCAGCAAGCCAGGTGCCATCCCTTTCCCAACCTAATGATGGGCCTAGAACCTAAGCCAAGACGGCGAGATTCAACTCTGGACCTTGGCTACAGCCCTTGGGAGAGAGGCTCTTTCTCTCTGTTGCATTGCTTAGTCATAAAGATCTAAGTCTGGAGTTGCCAGAGAAATCCTGTCTGAGAATGAAGCAGGTTTCCTGGACACTTAGATTGAACACCTAGATCCAGACATGCCTGAAGCTAGCCCCATTGACTCAGTTACGTGAGCTGATAAATTCCATTTTATGCTTCAGTCAGTGACAGTTGGGTTTCTGCCACTTCCATCAGAACAGTTTTTTTTTCCTTTGGAGACAGGGCCTCGCTTTGTCACCCAGGTTGGAGTGCAATGGTGCAATCTTGGCTCAACTTCCACCTCCTGGGTTCAAGAGATTTGTCTGCCTCAGCCTCCAGAGTAGCTGGGATTAGAGATCTGTACCACCTCATCTGGCTGATTTTTGCTTTTTTGTAGAGATGGCCGGGGGGAGGGTCTCACCATTTTGGCCAGGCTGGTCTCGAACTTGTGACCTCAGGTGAACTGCCCACCTTGGCCTCCCAAAGTGCTGGGATTACAGGCGTGAGCCACTGCGCCCGGCCTAGAACAGTTCTTGTTCATTCTCCCTTGACCCAAAAGAAAACAAACTCATTCACTCATTCATCCATTCATTATTTATTATCTAAGAAGTGCTCAGCCCCATGCTGGGTGATGATGGGGATAGTAAAGTGACCATGACAGGCTCTCACAGCAATCGAGGCTTCCAGAGCTTAAATGACAATCACAAACAGCAAGAACGGTGTTGACAAAGCAAATGACATTCAGCAAAAATGGCGACACCTGCTGTGAAGGAGGAGCTCAGAGAGCTACAAGAGCTGGGATCAGGGAGAGGTCCCTTGAAAGATGGGCAGGAACCAGCCGATGGGAATGAGGTCAAGGGCCAAGGGTCCATGCACACAAGCCTTGGGTTTCAGGGCACACCTGAGGCACAGTAGGACTCAGGAACCCAGAAAAAGATCCTGGATGTGGAAGGAGGGAGGGGCTAGGGAGGTCGGGAGGGGAGAGGTGAGGCAGCCATCCAGGCCCCAGTGGAGGAAGCAGGAGGAGGCGGAGGAGGCAGAGCAGGCCAGGGCGCGTATATGGCCTTCCCATCTTGTCCCTCAGAGCGTGGTGTAGAAATACATAGCTATCAGCATGACCGGGAGCTGGCAAGGAGGCAGCGAGATGAGGGCACTCCACCCCTCATCCCCAGCCCACCCGGCCTGTGGGCTCCCCGCCTCTCACCGTCCACATCAGGATGGCAAACCCAAACCATGAGATGCCCCACGTGTAGCTGTCGATGGCATGGCCGATGTGCTCGAAGCAGCCCTGAGCAGGGGGTGGGGGAGTTTTGAGAAGAACGACCATGAGGCTGGCTGATGAAGGCGAGAGTCAATGTGCGCCTTCCCTGAGCCTCAGTTTTCTCACCCGTGCAATGGGGACCATGGCACTATCCACCTCCTCAGGTGGTTTTGGGGCCCCAGGGAGCTGATGTTGAACCCAAGCCCTGAATAAGTAGGTGCTGCCTGCTGATGGCTATGACAGTCTGAGAGTGATTTTGCTTACAGCTGGCTTTCCTTTTTTTTTTTTTTTTTGAGTCTCTGCTGCCCAGGCTAGAGTGCAGTGGCACCATCACAGCTCACTGCAGCCTCGACCTCCTAGGCTCAAACGATCCTCCTGCCTTAGCTTCCCCAGGAGCTGGGATTACAGGCGCACACCACTACTCCTGGCTAATTTTTTGTAGTTTTGTGTAGACACTGGGTCTTGATATGTTACCCAGGCTGGTCTTGAGCTCCTGACCTCAAGCGATCCTCCTGCCTTGGCCTCCCAAAGTGCTGGGATTACAGGCGTGAGCCACTGTGCTCAGCCCTATTGTTTTGTTTTCTTTTGTTTGATGATTTGTTTGGTTTGAGACGGAGTTTCACTCTGTCGCCCAGGCTGGAGTGCAGTGGTGCAATCTTGGCTCACTGCAAACTTTATCTCCTGGGTTCAAGTGATTCTCCCACCTCAGCCTTCTGAGTAGCTGGGATTCCAGGCACATACCACTGTGCCCGGATAATTTTTGTATTTTTACTAGAGATGGGGTTTTGCCATGTTGGTCAGGCTGGTCTCAAACTCCTGACCTCAAGTGATTTGTACACCTAGGCCTCCCAAAGTTCTGGGATTACAGGAGTGAGCCATTTCGCCCAGCCCTATTGTTGCTCTTATTCCTGGACAAGCTGAGAAAAGTAGCAGGTGCCAGGTCTGGATCAGACGGACCCTGGGTGCATCCTGCTGACTTGAGAGAGAGTTGGGAGAGCATGAGAAAATCAGAGAGGGGTCTCAGCACAGTGGCTCACCAGCCTGGCCAACATGGTGAAACCCCATCTTTACCAAAAACACAAAAATTAGCTGGGAGGGTAGCATGCCCCTGTGATCTCAGCTGCTCTGGAGGCTGAGGTGAGAGAATTGCTTGAACCGGGAGGCAGGGGCTGCAGTGAGCCAAGAGTGAGCCACTGCACTCCAGCCTGGGCGACAGAGCAAGACTCGGTCTCAAAAATATAAAAGAAAAGAAAAACAAGAAAATCAGAGAGGGGAGGAGGAGAGGGAAAAAGCTAGACAGCCAGCCAGAAAGGGAGAAGGACATAGAATCAGAGAGGGAGCAGTGACCAGAGGAAGACAGACAGATGGACAGACAGGTGCAGCAGGGCAGAGGGCCACACCTTGGTGAACAGGTAGTCCATGTGGCCCAGGCGGCAGCCCTCCTCATTGAGGGGGATGAAGTTTCCCGTCCGGCGACAGCACAGTGGGGGCCAGGGGAACACCACCTCCGGAGTGGCTGCCCGGAAAGCTGATGTGAAGTTCACCCAGTCCATGGGACCAGATGTGCCACAGCATTCTTGCTGGAGAGAAAGGCGGAGGGTCAGGCAGGCCCGGGCTCAGAGAGGACAGTCACTTGCCTGAAGTCACACAGCAAAGAGAGGCAGGGCTGGCCTTTGACACAGCTGGAGCCAACTTCCCCATGTCCTGGACCTCCAAGCGAGTGTGTCAGGTGGTATCTGTGTGTGTGAGCACGGAGCAGACGATATTTGTCCCAGGACCATGAGGCTCATGGGGGATTTGGATCAAACCCGCACCTCTGACTTATTTTCAAATATTTTTGCCGGGTGCAGTGTCTCACGCTGGTAATCCCAGAATTTTGGGAGGCCAAGGCAAGTGGATCACCTGAGGTCAGGAGTTCAAGACCAGCATGAGCCACATGATAAAACCCCATCTCTGCTGAGAATACAAAATTAGCCGGGTGTGGTGGTGCGCGCTTGTAATCCCAGCTACTCGGGAAGCTGAGCCAGGAGAATTGCTTGAACCCAGGAGGCAGAGGCTGCAGTGAGCAGAGATCATGCCACTGCACTCCAGCCTGGGAATCAAGAGCGAAACTCCGTCTCAAAAAATACAATAAAATATTTTTATCAACAATTATGCTGATGAAATGACACAAAAAGGACAGACGTCTGGCTTTTCCTGGCCTTGGTAAGAAATCCAGGTGTTTTATTTGTGGCTCCTGAATCAGGAAAACATAGGTTTGGGAATCCTTCAAACATGGGTTCAAATCCTGGCTAGCAAGAGGACTTGGGTTTTCCTTGAGTCCTCAATTTCTTCCTTTTTTTTCTGCAAGAGAGTCTCCCTCTGTCGCCCAGGCTGGAGTGCAGTGGCATGGTCTCAGCTCACTGCAAACTCCGCCCCCTGGGTTCAAGCCATTCTCCTGCCTCAGCCTACCGAGTAGCTGGAATCACAGGTGTGCGCCACTATACCTGACTAATTTGTGTATTTTTTGTAGAGACAGGATTTTACCATGTTGGCCAGGATAGTCTCGAACCCGTGGCCTCAAGTACTCTGCCCACCTCAGCCTCCCAAAGTGTTGGTATGATAGGTGTGAGCCATGAGCCACTGCATCCGGCCAATCTTCCTCCTCCGATGCAATATCAAGTTGGATTTGACGAAGAGTGTATCTCTTCAAACCTGGCAGTCTGAGTTTGAGTCCTTCCAGGTCTGTGACCTGCCAGCTGTGTGACCTCATCCAAGATATTCAACCTCTTTCTTTGGCCTCCTCATCACTAAAAAGGCGATCTCCCTTATGGCATGGTAGTGAGGATTAAATAAGCTCTGAAAGTGCTTTGAGGCCAGGCACTGGTGACTCATGCCTGTAATCCCAGCCGTTTGGGAGGCCAAGGCGGGAGAATCACTCGAATCCTGAGCCCAGGAGTTCGAGACCAGCCTAGGCAATAGAGCAAGACCCTGTCTCCACAAAAAAACAATTTAAAAAACTTAGCCGGGTGTGGTGGGGTGCACCTGTTTTCCCAGCTACTTGGGAGGTGGAGGCGGGACGATCACTAGAGCCCAGGAGTTGGAGGCTGCAGTGAGCTATGTTCACCCCATGCACTCCAGCCTGAGCAACAGGGCAAGAATCCATCTCAAAATATGAAAATACAAGTCCTCTGAACAGTGTTAAACAAAGTTAGTGCTCCGCGAATGGTGCCGTTACTATCATTGTTATTACTGTCAACATTTCTCTTGAGCGGTATGTGTAGGCTAAGGGGAGGGGCTCTGGAGCCAGGCTGCCGGTTCCAATCCCAGCTCTACGGCATGGCCTCGCGCAAGGGACTTTCTCTTTCTGGGCCTGTTTACTCACCTGGAGAACGGTGATGGATGACCGCAGCCCTGCTCGCCTGGCCATCTCATGAGTAATGTCTTTTTTTTTTTGAGACGGAGTTTCGCTCTTGTTACCCAGGCTGGAGTGCAATGGCGCGATCTCGGCTCACCACAACCTCCACCTCCTGGGTTCAGGCAATTCTCCTGCCTCAGCCTCCTGAGTAGCTGGGATTACAGGCACGCGCCACCATGCCCAGCTAATTTTTGTATTTTTAGTAGAGACAGGGTTTCACCATGTTGACCAGGATGGTCTCGATCTCTTGACCTCGTGATCCACCTGCCTCGGCCTCCCAAAGTGCTGGGATTACAGGCTTGAGACACCGTGCCCGGCGAGTGATGTCTTTAAGGCACTCACTCCTCTACAAGAGGAAATAGCGGGAGCCCCAGGCCCTCCCAGCACCGGTCCACCGCGCCCACCTCAATCATGACGCGGTCCCAGAGGCGGGTCAGCTCCTGGCCCTGTTCGGTGTCCGCGCTGTAGAAGGTCAGCATCTGCTTGGTGATCAGGGATGGATTAGACACCATCTGCAGGGAGCCGGAAGAACAGGGGCCCGCAGGGCTGTTGGGTGGGGAGCCGGGGCGGCCTCTGACCCGCCGCGCCGGACCCTCGCCCCTCCCACACAGGTCAGGCCCCTCCCCGGGCCTCGCCCCGCTCACGTAGTCACGGTGGGTATAGGACGTGATGCAGGAGGCGCACTCGAAGATGAAGACAATGAGCATGAGCACCAGGTACTGGGGAGATCAGAGGGAGGATGGCGCGTTGGGCAGAGCCGGTGAAGCCACACCCCCACCAGGGACGAATCGTTGTGGAAATGCAACTTTTTAAAAAGTTTAGGGCAGTGTGAATGGTAGCATCTGTAATATATGGTGGGTATTCAGGTGTTCGCTGTATAAGTCTTCCAACTTTTCTGTGTTTGAAATATTTAATTATTTTTGAGACAGGCTGGGCATGGTGGGTGGCTCACGCCTGTAATCCCGGCACTTTGGGAGGCCAAGGGGGCCATCACCTGAGGTCAAGAGTTCGAGACCAGCCTGGCCAACATGGTGAAACCTCATCTCTACTAAAAATACAAAACTTCGGGCCAGGCATGGTGGCTTACCCCTGTAATCCCAGCACTTTGGGAGGCCGAGGCGGGTGGATCACTTGAGGTCACGAGTTCATGACCAGCTCGGCCACCATGGCAAAACCCCATCTCTATTAAAAATACAAAGATTAGCTGGGCATGACGGCATGTGCCTGTAGTCCTAGCTACTCGGGAGGCTGAGTAGGAGAAGCGCTTGAACCCAGGAGGCAGAGGCTGCAGTTAGCCAAGATCACACCACTGCACTTCAGCCCAGGCGACACAGTGAGACCCTGTCTCTTAAAACAAAACAAACAAACATAATACGATGTTCTCAGATAAACAGAGACATGTGACACAGACTAGGTGTTGGAAGATATAAAGGAACTTGGGTGAATTTGGTGGATTGTGTCAACGACATGGAGGGTGGGAGAAAAAGAAAGCTCAATAGCTGATGTTTGTTGAAAATTCTTTTCCTAGCCTCCCCTGCACCTTCACCCATAAAGCAACAGGAGGTTGCATGCGGATGTGTGAACTCCGCTGCTGGGAGACGGGATGACATCACACAACACACCTGACTGCTTTAAAACAATGTGCTTATCACTCAGAAATGTGCACTCCAGTATTTACAGGAAAGTGACTTGGCATCCAGAATGTGCTTCAAGATACCCAGAAGAAAAGTGTGGGAGAAGGGGGGTGGAGGAGACAATGTGGGCGGTCCGCGGCTGATGTTGCTGGGCAGGTGAGAGGTGTGCGGGGCTCAGACACCACATACTCTAGTCTAGTCCACAATCGAAATTTCCCATAAGACACCTGGAAAGAAAGGCTGGGTGCGGTGCCTCACGCCTGTAATCCCAGCACTTTGGGAGGCCGAGTTGGGAGAATCATTTGAGCCAGGAGTTCAAGACCAGCCTGGGCAACATAGTGAGACGCCCCCCATCTTTACCAAAAACAAAAAACAAAAATTCAGCCCTGCTACTCAAGTCCTCCTGCTGTGCAGAGCCTGCTTCTCTCCCTGTGCCCTGGTTTCTTTGTGAAACGGGTACCTGCTGGGCCTGGGTTATTGGGCTGTGGGAAGACTGAGTGAGAGATGCCTGGATGCCTGAGTGTAGCACCGTGGGGAACTCGTGCTGGTGGCTGGCGAGGCACCTGCCACTGAACTGGCTCCCAGTGTCCCTCTCCCCCCTCCCCCAGGCCTTACCGTGAGGACCATGGAGCGGCGACGGCAGAGCGCGGCGCCGACACCAAAGCTGGCGACCACGAAGAAGGAGAAGCCACAGAAGATGGCGATCCAGGCACCAGCGAAAACGTCATCCTTGCCCGAGACGCCCATCAGTGGGTACACGCGGTACTGGTCAGTTGTCACCCATACTGTCTCGGCAAACAGGGCCAGGCCTGACAGCTGACAGAGCGGCGGGTTAGAAAGGTCTGCTCGGGACCAACAGCCCTGGCACCAGGCATCTCCAAGAGCAAGTTCCTTCCCCATTCGGAGCCTCCACCGCCCTCTCAGTAAAGCAGGCAAAGACCTCCCCTTCCATGAGCAGTGATGAGGGTGAACAGAGGCCAGGAGAGAAGAGGTGGCCCAGCCGACCTCCGACCCCCATACCCCAGCTGCCAGTTGCCTCAAGGATGAAAGGCTGGAGCCGCAGCCTGGCACAGAGAAGACAGTCGGTCCATCTGCCCTCCCTTGACGGTGCTGTTATTCCCCGAGGAGGCGACATGGCCATGGCCATGAAAATTACAAATATGCCAGGCAAGGTGGCTCACCCCTATAATCCCAGCATACTGTGTGAGGCCGAGGTGGGAGGATCGCTTGAGCCCAGGAGTTTGAGACCAGCCTGGGCAACATAGTGAGAGCCCATTTCTACAAAAAATAAAAAATTTAGACAGATGTGGTGATGTGCACCTGTAGTCCCAGCTACTCAGGGGGCTAATGAGCGGGAGGATCAGTTGAGCCCAGGAGTTGGAGGCTGCAGTGAGCTAGGATCACACCACTTTATTGCAGTCTGGGCAACAGAGATAGACCCTGCCTCTAAAACAAACACAAGGCCAGGCGAGGTGGCTCACCCCTGTAATCCCAACACTTTGGAAGGCTGGGGCAGGCAGATCACCTGCGGTCAGAAGTTTGAGACCAGCCTGGCCAACATGGTGAAACCCTGTCTCTGCTAAAAATACAAAAAGTAGCTGGGTGTGGTGCCACATGCCTGTACTCCAATATGGAGAAACCCTGTCTCTACTACAAAATACAAAATTAGCTGGGCATGGTAGCACGTGCCTGTAATCCCAGCTGCTTGAGAGGCTGAGGCAGGAGAATCACTTGAGCCCAGAAGTCGGAGGTTGCAGTTAGCTGAGATTGGCCATTGCACTCCAGTCTGGGTGACAGAATGAGACTCCGTTTCAAAAAAAAAAAAAAAAAAAAAACGAAAACAAAACAAGCACAAAACCAAAACCCAACGTTAATTGAAAGAAAGACGCTGTCATCTTTCCCTCTTGTGGCCTCCTATGCACCAGGGGGTTGCATTATGTCCACAGTGATGCTGACGGTGATAGCCAGCATTGGTTGGGCACTTTCCCTGAGCTGAGGGCCAGGCATGGATCAATCCACATGTCAACAGCCCCCACACAATGACATAATCTACAGATGAGGAAAGAAGGCACAGAGAGGGACAGTCACTTGCTAAGGTCATAGAGCTGGGGAGAGGCAGAGCTGGGGTGTAGATCCACGCTGCGCTGACAGCTGAGTCTGCCCTCAAGGCAGTTCTGGACCCTCGTCCCCCACCCTGAGCTCAGGACTGCCCCCTCCCCACCACACACCCACTCCGCTCCCAGCACCAGGGCGAGTCTCACCAGAATAATGATGTTGCCCACGACGAGCAGGCCCACCACAACTGGAGAACCCTTCTCGGCCTCTGCTGCCGCTGCAGACGCCATCATTCTGCCCGGGACACAGGAGCAGGATGAGACCAGGAGTATAAAGGACTAGCCAGACCCCCAGCTCCGAGCCTCCCCAGCTGTGAGGGCTTGCTCCAGCTCTCTGCAGGGCCCAGGCTGGTACCGCTGTGCCCACAGTTCTGGCATTTTGCAGAAGAGGACACCTGGGCTCCGGTGGGGCAGTCACTGGCCCGAACCAGGCACTGCCGCTCCTGAGCCTCAGATCCCCCATACTGCACCCAGATTCCCAGAGCCCCCTCCTCACCTTCTGTCCCTGGAGCCTCTCTGGCCAGCCCCACCCACTGTGGCTCCATATATATGCCCAGGCCCCTCCTTGGGCCGGTCTCCCAGGAAGGAAGGAGGGTGTGTGTGTGGTGTCGGGGGGTGGACAAGAGGCCGAGCCGGCAGACCAGAATGGGTGAACAGCTTTGATGGGCTCCCTGCCACCCCCATGATTTATAGACCTGAAATTCCAGATTGTGCAGGACCCATGGCCTCTGGGTCCCAGGCTCCCATAGTGGTGGAGGGGTTGGGGATGGAGGGGTGTGAGCACCACCTGCTATCTCTCTTGCCAGGACATGGGTCATCCTGGGAGCAGGAGCAAGATCCAAATCAGGGTGGGGTGTGGTGGCTCAGGCCTGTAATCCCAGCACTTTGGTAAACTAAGGTGGGTGGATCGCTTGAACTCAGTAGTTTGAGACCAGACTGAGTAACATGGTGAAACCCTGGTTCTACAAAAAATACAAAAAAAATTAGCCTGTCGTGGTGGCTCCTGCCTGTGGTCCTAGCTACTCGGGAGGCTGAGGTGGGAGGATCGCTTGAACCTGGACAACAGAGGTTGCAGTGAGCCGAGGTCATGCCATTGCACTCCAGCTTGAGTGACAGAGCCAGGCCCTTTCTCTAAGAAAAAAAAAATTCACTTTGGACCCATAGATGGGTCTTGAATCCCAAAAGTGCCTCTTCTGCTGTGTGGCCTTGGACAGGTGGCTGCTCCTCTGAGAGGCTGGGAGGCCGTGGGGAGGTCCAGGCAGGGACCCCTGCCGGCCCCAGGGCTGGACCAAGGCAGAGCAGTGGGGAGATGAGGGGACAGGTGGAAGGGGTGCTTAGGAGGCTGATTACATAGGCGGTGGGCTAAGGCAGAAGGATGGCACCCAGGATAGGTGTGTGAGGGGAGTCTGCGATGAGTACAAGCGGGAGAAGAACGTGCTAGAAGATGAGAGGGGGCACACTGGGCTTGGTTGCAGAAAAGTCCCCGTTGCCCCGAACACACACAGAGCAAGCAGAGACATTTATTTCTTCAGGCTGCAGAAAGAAAGAGACCTAGGCTCAAATCCCGGTTCCGCCTTTGCATTTGCCCATCTGCGAAATGGGTATCATGAGACCGCTTCCGGGGAGGATGGGGACGCAGCCAGCGCTTGTCCCCTGGGGCTGGTACTGCGGGCGGCCGCGCCCCGAGGCCTGCTCCGGAGACGCGGCGGTCTCTCCAATGCCGCCCCCTCGCGGCGCACGGCTGGCTCTGCAGGCGAAAATGGTGGGGCCTCCCAACACCGTCGCCGGAATTTCTCATCCCCAAAGCTAGGCGGTTTATTGCCTCTCCTGTTGGAGCCATGGCTCCCCCTTGCGGTGTCTGCGAACTCGGCAAACAAATGACACTGGCTTGGAAATAAGATACATGAGATGTTTTCCAATTCAAATAGTTAATTTGGTTTTACTTAACCCACTTTAGATTTTAAAATAGTTTTCCTGAAAATGGATGGGGGGATGGGTCTACGTTGCCCAGACTGGTCTCAAACTCCTGGCCTCAAGTGATCCTCCCGCCTCAGCCTCCCAAAGTGCTGGGATTATAGGCGTGAACCACTGCGCTTGAACAGTTTTTTAAATCTATATGTATATTAAAGAAAATATAAATAATGTACATGAGCAAAGTACACAAGTACACTTTAAAAGTCTGGGCTTAAATAATTTGCAAAATAATAAGGCCATGCTAATAAGTGTACTTTTTTTTTTTTGGAGACAGAGTCTCACTCTGTTGCCCAGGCTGGAGTGCAATGGCTCTATCTCTGCTCACTGCAACCTCCACCTCCGAGGTGCAAGCGATTCTGCTGCCTCAGCCTCCTGAGTAGCTGGAATTACAGGTGCACACCACCACGCTCAGCTAATTTTTGAATTTTTTCAGCAGAGATGGGGTTTCACCATGTTGGCCAGGCTGGTCTCAAACTCCTGACCGCAAGTGATCCGCCCACCTCAGCCTCCCGAAGTGCTGGGATTACAGGCATGAGCCACAGCGCCTGGCCAATATTTTCATTTTCAGGTAGTTGGTAACTGTTAAAATTTGCAAGTTATATAAAATGTCCAATCAAAGCAAAACAATCAATGGGGCGTTAACATGCCGCCAGTCATAAAGGGTATCTATTCCGCTCTGAAACAGAAAGCTGGTGTACTTTGAGGTCAAACTTGAATTTTCATGATTATTTCTTACTGTTACAGAAGTCAGTCTTCAAAACAATAAATGTTGAGGTACTAATTACTTCTTTAAAAAAATTACAATGGCCGGGCGTGGTGGCTCAAGCCTGTAATCCCAGTAATTTGGGAGGTCGAGGCGGGTGGATCACGAGGTCAAGAGATCGAGACCATCCTGGTCAACATGGTGAAACCCCGTCTCTACTAAAAATACAAAAAATCAGCTGGGCATGGTGGCGCGTGCCTGTAATCCCAGCTACTCAGGAGGCTGAGGCAGGAGAATTGCCTGAACCCAGGCTGGAGTGCAATGGCGCGATCTCGGCTCACC